CTTTGCTTCTTTAAAGAAATTCAGTAACTTTTATTACTGGTCATGAAGAACCTATAATGACCCAGTACCCTCTTCTAAATTCATAAAACAACAACAGAAACTTCCAGAAAATGTTCTGCACTGTTTCCTAGTGGATTAACAAACCAAAGGAGTGTAGTTAGTTGGGGCAGCGTTGTCTCAGATTCTGACTAACCGTGACTTGTTTTGAAAAAAACAAGAAAACAAAAACATGTCATCTTAATTTCATGGTTTAACTTACTTTTCCCATTAAATCTGAAGGCATTTTATTTTGGAATTGATATTATTCATGGCCTTTTAAAACTGTTACAGCATACTACTTTATGTTTTGCTGTGAAGCGTTGCTAGGGCAAACGTTTTATGTGTGATGATGGGCAAGCACTGCTTTATTTGGTGTAAGTAGTCTTACTGAATGGCATTCACATTGCCTGGATTTACTTGTAAAGACCTGCAGCTAAACACATATGAGTTGTTCTGTTGTCCTTAGTAGGACTACCGATGTGCTTAGTATTAAGTATGTTATTCAGTAAATTGCTTAATGATGGTCAGAGCTAAGTCAGGATGTGGCTCCCATCATTGTGTATGCTGGGGAGCAGGAGGGCTGCGGTCTTACCGGGAGGTTGGGCTGTGTGCGTTTTCCCTGCATCTCCGTCTCCCATTAGAGACAGCGACTTCACAATGCGCGTGTGCGCGCGTGAGTAAAGGAGCACTCGCAGTGCGCAGTTCAGACCATCTCCTGCGGCTGTAGGTACCAGGCAGGCGCCAGGTTATCACCACCAGGACACGTGTTGCCTTTCCTCCCTCCCCGCATGCATCGTGATGCTGCCTGCCTCCCTCCTCCCCTCGTTGTCTGAGGCTGACTGTTCTTGGCACGGGCGAAGCGTTGCTAAGGTGCAACGGCATAATCCGTACGTATGCTTGTAAACCTATCTTCCATTGGATAGCCAGGCAGGGATGATGGGCCTAACCCACCCGAGCCGGTGGGTAGTCAGAGCCGTGCAGCCGCCCAGCCGGCTGGCCAGCTGGGGACACTTGCCTTTTCTGGCCGGCCAGCTGCCTCGCCTGGGGCCACGCTTGGCCTCCAGGTGCCCGGGGCCGGGGCCAAAGCCGTTTCCCTGCAGGCGGGATTGGGATTCGGTTCCTTGGGCTGTAGTGTCTAATGGCCTGGCCCGAAGCCTGCAAACGTAGGCGTTCTTAACCTTCAGATTCAGTTATATCAACAGCGTTGCTCTTCCAGGAAAAGTTAGTTAGCAGGATCAGAGCCTTAATCGATTTGGCAGGCGACGTGGGGAGGGGAAACAAAGGGACAAAGCCGTGAAGCGGTTTGCCTGAAGTCACAACACAAGCCAGGAGCAGAGCGGGGTATTCAGAGTCCAGTGCTTTATCCGCTCTAACGATCGTGCTGCCAGTTGAATAAATTTACTGGTTATGAATAACCAGCAACATGTTTTGCCATGAGCAATGTGAATAGCTATTTCTGTTTGTATGTTTGTAAACAGATGAGAATTATTTTTAGGAATTAAGAAAATTCTTATTCATTGCTTACTGACTTTGAAAACTAATAAGCAGACTGGATCTTCTTTAATTGACTAGCTATTGTATTCTCTTCACAGTATATTTAACAAGTCTTTGAGTATTTGGTAGCTTTCTAGCAATCTTTGTGTGTGTTTATTATCTGACCTGTCCCACAAGAAGCACTAGTGGAATCAGATGACACTAAGTCATTTTGGAAACTCAGCACTAATGATGGATGTTTTCTTAGTAATAGCCAAAAACATTTAGAGGAAGCTTCTGCATTGAAACAGTGTATTTTGATTTGTGTGTGCCTCTGGGGGATGACGCTATCAAAAAGCATGTTCACATCCCATACGAATTTTGTGTAGCCCCTGCATAACAACAATATATCCTTGTTTGGATTTTTGTCATAGATTATATATTTAAGCGCACTGTTGACATGAGATACAAATTGATAACATTAGATTGTTAATAGCCATTAATATCAAGGATATTAATGACTGAAGTAAAAATAACAGTGATATTGACATAAATTTTCTTCTTATTTTAACGTTAGCATAAAACTTGCAGTTTACTTCTTAAAAGTAGGCTTACTGTGAAGCTGACACTGGTATTATCTGTTTTATGTAGTAGCAGTAATTATTTTTTCATTCCTGATTTAAAGTTTATTCAAACCTCATTGAAGTCGGAGAAAATTGCTTCACAACTGAAGATTACTTTTGGACTATCATAGGGTCATCCTAGGCTCTTAGGCTTAGACCCACAGTCCCTTTCATCCACTTACAAAACTGTGCGATCTAGGTTTAGAAGTGCTCTGAAGCGTGGACTGCTTTACCTTCTCCAGTTTATTTCTGGCTGGAAAGTACTTGTGCAGTCAGGGCAACAGCAAAATTACTCCAGTGTTAATAATCTTCACTAATGGCCATCCTTGCCTGACATTCTTCTTGAAAATATGTTTGAGTTCTTTGAATGTACAAAATCTTTCCCTCCGATTTCTCCATCTGAGCTCATGAATTTTTTATTTATTATTATTGTTTTTTTTTAACTTTATTTGGTTTTCACCATTGTGTTGTCACTTTGATGGAGTGGTAACCTAAAATCAGTTGGCAGGTTAGCTTCCATTTGGAAGAGAAAAGCAATAACGCAAAATCGTGATATATCCTCAATCACTCACTTTTTTGCCTACATAAAGGCATCCTGCTTCCCTGAACAAAAGTTGCAACAACATGGCTGTTAGGCAGTTCTCCCCCAAATGAGGGATCTCTGCTCCCTTCTGAGAGTTGTCCATATTGCCACTTGTTCTCCCGCGCAACCTTGCTGGATGGTGTTCTCTGCCAAGGCAATAATTTTCTTTTGATTCGAAACCCCAGATTTGAAGTTTACAAAACACTTCTGGAGCATAGTTTCATGTTATGGGATCATCAGCATCCTCACCAGCTGGATTTACAGCACACCAACAGCAAAAAAAAAAAAAAAAAGGAATTTCGCTGACCGGCCATCCTTTCCAAGTCCTCCTCCTTCTGTCTCACCTTTTCTACTGCTTGTTCAGCTCCTTCCTCCTCCTGTATGCACCTTCCCCTTCTGTCCTTCTGCCAGTTTGGGGGCTCTCTTCATTGCATCATAAACCAATCAAGTTCTTAATTTGAAAAAATAAAACAAAAGCTGGGTTTTTTTGAAGTGTGGGTAGAATTAACTTATTGTCTGGTCTGAAAAGTGGCCTCAAGTAAATGGCAAGAAATGGGAAAGAGAGAGGAAGGTGAGTGGGGGTAATGAGATATTTCCCTTTTGATCTTGGCAAGCTATTAATCCATCTTAAGCTGTATCATGAAACCAAATCCTAAGTAACATCTCAAACTGATCATATAGCAGCTCCGATTGACTTTGACAGAACATATTCCTTAAGTAAACCTTAGCTCTGAGAGATTCGATAGCAATTTAGTAATTCTCATGTACGTGCTAACCTTTGGGGTTTTTTTTTTTTGCATAGTTTTGAAGAAAAGCCTTTTTTATTGGTTTATCAGAAACTTATATGGATTAAAACTTGCTGATATATAAATACTGTACTTCCTTTGACATCTAGGTTTCATATATGATTTCATGTTTTATTTTTATGGTCCAAAAATAATTAAAAATATACAAGAACACTGACTTGTACATTCTCAGTCTTGCATACATACCATGACAAAATGCTAGCCAAAAATAATAGGTTATGTCCTTTACAGACCTTTCTGAATAGAAATGCTGTTTCACGAAGTGTTTCAAAAATAACTTCAATTTTTAGGAAGATTTTTGTGATCCGTATTCAAACTAGACTTTTCACCTAACTTGTAAGCTTGAGTTCAACGAGAAACAACAAAAAATTGCTATGAGCTATTAAATGAATAATTTAAATTCATTTTAAATTATTATTTTAAATTATTATTTTAAATATTAAATGCCACTGTTAATGGCACTTGACATGAATGTAATGTTGCAGCGCGAGATTGTATCAGGATATGCCACTTTGCTGCCATCTTTCAAAATGAGGTGTCAGTGTTTTATCATGTAAAATTTACAGACTCTTGAGTGTTTTGATCACTATTGTTTATGCATTGCTGCTTTTTAAATGTTATGGCAAACTGGAAAAATCTATATAATGAGCAAAGTGCTAAGGATATCTGGTAGTTAATGACTATGTTAACAAACATCTTCATGTTGTGAGTTAATCGATATGACCACGTTGCATTATGGCAGTGGTACACGTTTTCCATTAATTCTTTCCAGTGGAAAAAATACAACAAGGGCCGCTTGGGTTCTTTAAAATAGTATAGATTGCTTTATAATCAACCGTATAATTCACCTTGACTCTTTAAAGCAGCTTTATGGATAATAATCTGGAGAGGAGTCCTTCTGTTTACTCACATACCTCCTTTTTTGCTTTATGGAATAATAGTTATTTAGTAAATCAGATAACTAAATTAGAAGGTTACGCCCTTATACACTCTGCTTATGTTTTTTTTTAGAAGACTCTTTTCCTCAATGCAGAACAATTTGAAGAAACTCTTGTTTGTAAAGTCTGGAGATGGAAAGCGTTTGATAACGCCTAGACAAAAACAAAACAGTTGAGTTGGGTACCCACTTTCTGCAATGTCTTTTTCCATACTGTTGATACAAAACAATGAGGGTCACAACTTGAACTTGGGGTGGGAGATTTAGGATTCCTAACTAATTCTCTCTCCTCTGTCTTGCTAGTTTGAAGGACAGCAGTCAGAAAGTTCTCTAGAAATGAAGTACTACTTGATTGGGAAGAACTTCCTTTAGTCCCTTTGTAAAGCTTATGATGTATGCAAGTATAAAAGCAGTTACTCCATAGCTTTTTCCTGAAAACCCATTCTGAAAAAACTCTTTATGGTATTTTTGTATTGTTTAAATCATCAGTATGATTTTTGTTGCAGCTTTTATTGACTTTCTTTCATTTTTCTTTTCAGAGTGAAGGAGTTAGTTTTATCACCATGACCTCAAACAACAGAGTACAACATTCAAAGAAGCTGCTCGGCATTTTTCTTTTTTTTTTTTAATGAAGCTGCTTAAGGTTTACTTTTTGTTGTCGTTATCATTGGTCCGGACAGTTACTTAACTTTCAAACTGTTGTGGACTAAACTGTACAACAAATCGGCAAGGAAGGGAAAGCAACCTGCCTAACTCATTACCTGTCATTGGCATCTACAGTACCGTTTTGCTGCTGGTTTGACAGAAGTTCAAGATGTTGTTTAGCTAGTTGGAACTTTTCTGCCGGCCTCTTTAACTAATGGCCAATGCCTTCGTTTCCTTTTTCTGCAAAGACAAACTATATTTATTCTTCGGCATATTGGAGATGCTGTAACACCTGCTACAGCAGCAAAATCTGGTATTTACTGGCATAATTTCAAGCCTATCACAGTACTACCTCAGTTCAAAGTAAAGCCGGATTTGCGGTGTCGGTCTGCACAGGACCTCCTGTATCTCTGTGCTGAGTATCTCTCAAGAACAGTCATCAGCCTTACTGAACTTCTAACGCGTACAGCTACTGGGTGGTTCTGAATCACTAGCTGCAGTGTTTACTTATCAGACAAAGCCTAACGCGGGCGCTAAAAAGTCTAAAATACGATAAAACGCCGTGCATCGGACTTGGGCGGCGGATTCGGAATAGTTAAAATGTGTAACTTAAGCAACATAAGTTAAAAACATCCAACTGTATTGGGGGTATCTCTCTTTACCTTTGACACACTTGTTTTATCCTCTCTATGTAGGTGTTTATGTAGGTACTTCAGATTGCAAAAGCCTTTTCTCCTATTTACAAGCTCACTTTTGTCAGCTAACCCTGTTCTTAGCTGCATTTCTTGTAACCAAAAATCCACATAGGCATGCTAGGAATGCAGGGATGATAATGGGTATTGGACAGTTTGAAGTGCTGATGTTAACACAGTATTATCTTGCCATCTAGAAAGTCCTGATACTTGCCTTCTACCAGAAAAGCGTCATTGCAGCTACAGGCATTATTACAGGGGAAGAAACAACAGTGCAGTCACTTTGTTCTTTTCAAGATTACCCATGTGTCACGTTTCCTGTATTCTGAAAATGCAACTGATATGGCGACTATTGTCACAAATGTCATATACAGCTGTTGCACCAGACTAGCAGAATGTCATGTCACCTAGTTTCTCCTTTGGTAAATTTGTTGAAGAGTGCTTATATGTTTTAAGGGTACCTCTCCAGTGCCTGCTCCGATTGTCGTGTAAGTATTACTAGGTTATCTGGATTATTTGAGGTTTTTTTTTTTTTTTTTTGAAAATCATTGTGCTAGGTGGAACCTGTACATCACTCTTAACAATGCATTATCTTTTGGGATTTTTTCTGTGAGGAAGACGATAGTCAATGTCTTATAAATACAATGAATGGGAATGCAGTCTTCCTGCTTACATGCTGAATTGTTAGAACTGAGGATTGTATTACAAGACAAAGATGAATGTAAACTAATTCCTTCCCTACCCCATGGCACACTTTATTTTTCAGTGTAATTTTCTGGGATTTTAAATCACAGCAGTGCATAGGCTGTACAATATTAGATCTAAAAATCAATTTAAATATCTAATTTATCTGTTTGGGCTTTGGGATTTTTTTTTTTTTTAAGCACTATAAAAGGTTCTAAAACATTCTAAAATGCTGCTTGTTCAGTTCTGGAACTAGAAAAACAAATAGTTGATGACATTTTCTGTCAGCCCCTCTCTGCCCTCCCTTGCCACAGCCACAGTAGCACTGAATGTGGTACCTGCTGAACACAATATTTTAACTTCTATTTTGAAGTAACCCTCTGTACCAATTGTGGAATCATGCCACTAAAACAAATGGCTTACGTGCATATAGCAACTTCAAAACAAAAACTTGACAATGTAGTCAATTCTTCTCTATCCTGTATGTTTCACAAAAGCATATGCAATACTTACATTCTTAATTTAGTTTACAGAATGGAACCAAAATGTATAAATGTTATGTTTGCTAAAACTTCACAATGTATATTGGGTCTTTGTACATTTTGCCTGACTTACCTTAAATTTAAAATATTTTTTGCTATATAACCTTAACAGTTATTAAGCAGTGTTTTCTTTATGGGTACGTATTGTTTCTGGACATCAAGATGTTAAATATATTTCTTGCTATTGTGATAATGACAAGAGACTTAACTTATCTTGCTGTGTCTTCCAATGTACACGCTGTATATAAGGATAAATGTGATGCTGCTGGAGACCAGAATAAATGGAACTAGAGTAGTGTATTGTATTTAGTCTGTATTGATTATGGATGCTCTCCTTAATAGCCATATGCAATAAAATACATTATTTATGAAAGGAGTAAAGTATTTGCGTGCCTGTTTTCTCTAGGGGTGTTTTTTTTGTTGTTTGTTTGATTATTGATATAAATTCAGTTTATTCTTTTCCCTTGAAAGTGAAACACACTTTCTCTGAATAAATCTTCCTGTTCTGCAGATCCTTACCTTCTTTTGTTAAAACAGTCTTGAAAAACATGCAATCACTTTAATTTTCTTTTTTAAGAATTAAAAATTCAGTATTATAAAGGCACAATTTATACATTTAAGGAGATAACTAAGAACAGAATTGGTCTTTGTTGTTAATTCTAGCTCAAAAACCTCTCATCTGCAATGGAGAATGAAAAACTATGGGGAGTCCTTCCAGCAGTTTAGATGAACTGACTTGCCTTTCATACCATATAGTCATTTACACTGGTACAAAGTGAATGGGAACCTAATGCCCTACCTAGAACTAGTCTTTATCTGCTGGCTTTTTTTGCTGGACCTTTGGGGCACGGTGAGGGACACCAAGGGAACACTGTAGTCTAATCTACTTTTGGTCAGTAGGAATGTTCCCTGTACCCATATATGACCCTTTACAATGTTCATTGTACCTGTGTAAATGACCTATGTTGAGAGTCATTTGCTCATGAGAGGAAATTGTGGTCATCTCATATACTGAAGCAGACCTCTCAGGAAGTAACTAGAGTCAGAGATCTGTTGCGTTACTAAATATATTGTTCCCGAGAGACAGGCGCTGTCCTTACCAGCTCACAAATTGTATAGACACATTTCTAAAGGCCTTGAACATGGCTATAAAAATCACATTGGGCGCTGTAACACAAAGCACCTAATTATGAACTTTCCACAGCAAACAAAACCCTTCCAGAGGAACCCTTACTGAGTTCCTGGTGTGCCTTGTTTTTCTCCAATGTCCTAAGTAAACATGTAGGCCGTGGAACATGCTCTGAAAATCAGCGAATCGGACTACTTCATGTGCACGGTGGGCAGTAGGTTAAAAAAAAGTCTGATGTCCCTTTTAAAGCACAGTCCTGCAACGATCTCCTCTGCTTAGGCAGAGGAGTATCTGAACAACGCCCCTTTGTTGAGTGTACATGAGGCCTGCTGGCACAGGAGGAGGCTTGATCTCTTAATGTAGCACATTCAAAGTTATTTGGAATGAAATTAAATCTCGGAGCATGTTTTGTCTATTCTCTAGGAAACATCTACCACTAAGTGGGCTGGTACCTTTATGGTTACCTCATGTTTGGGGGAGGGTTGAAGGATCATATTAATACAGCTTTTTCTTAAAAGGACAAAAACTTGAAACATTTTGGCAAACTCAGGTTCTTTCTGTGAATGTGGCATGAATGGAAAGAGCAGTCTTGTCTGTTGCTGCAGCAGGATCATCCTGTGGCTGCTGGAATGTCCATATAAGCCACAGAATAAAAACATAAATCACAAATAATGAATATGCTGCGCAAGAGAGAACATCCAGTTCCTTCTTTTCATCTGTCGTCACCATCTCATCTGTAGGTTTAGCTCGGGGAGACAAAATGGGACCCTGTAGATCTTACAGTGCCTACATCCTTAAAGAGAAAGAGCACCTCAATTGCTTTAGTCTTTGAGATGGCTCTGGAGAAATACTTAGAACAACCTAAAAGTATCTTGTCCCTGACTGTTGTCAACAGGTGTGTGAATGATGCGTTATGTTACCATAGAACAAGATTCTGTTGGTAAGACATACAGAAATCCATTGTCAGATTCTCCAGTGTGTTTGATTTGATGATCATAGCATAGAGGAAACTTCTGGATGCTCAGCCCAGCCACAGCAGAATTCTGAGTGACCGAGGCTGCTTCCAAACTGAGGAACATCTACACTGACCTCAGGGCGGTGCTCCTCCATCCTTGTGCAGTGGCTGTCATGCTCAAGGACTGCAAAGCAGTCCATGGCTTCCAGGCTCACTGGGAACGTAGGTTTACTTTCTGTGCTAAAGAGCACAGGAAAGGGTTTATAGGTGTCTAGGTGTTTCTCCAGCAAGGAAGCAGGTTACCCTGAGCATATACGGGTGCCCTGGAGCATAGAGGCATTCCCAAATTCTCCAGGAATGAGGATCCTACTGACAAAATACTCTCTCTTACATGAAGAAGATATAAACATCAGGCTATGTTCATGAATTTTAAATGGCGGAGGCAGAGGATGGACTTAGTCACACCTTGAAACAGCCATTACTATGAATATCAGTGAGTCTAGATAAATGAATAGGATTCCCTTATTTGGAATCACGCTTGTTGTAGATGGACTGGTGAAACTGAACTCCCCCATTTGGTGGGAATTAAACATTAAAATAAGATTCTGTCTCAATCTCTGGAATTTCTGCTGCTGCTCCTAAAAATAACTCCTTCTCATTACGTAAGGATTCTACCTGAAAATGTAGGTGCATCCAACAGCGCAGTTATTATTTCCCTGTTCATTCATTAACCTGGATAAGCTTTATTCCAGGTGAACACCTAGGTTGACAACTGTGACGATGGGAATTTTGCCTAAGCAAGAGTGTCCAGATGGAGATCTTGCAACATGACTTAGATTTTTCCTAAAGCAAGTGTCCTTATGTGTACCCTTAATTCAAAATGTCATATCAAATGGTGAAACTTGTCTATAGAGGGATGAATTTACTGTATCTCAAGCCAGAATATTTTTGTGTGAAAAGTCGGACATTAAAACAGCAGAGCTTATATTTATTAATATCCTAATGCCCCTAATTCCTTAAACAAGCAAACAAACTAACTCCCCTCATCCAGGCATAACGGCTTTTTACCCGAGGTTGTATATTAAATGACTGTGGAAAAGTCTCACAGATGTTCCCTGTAAGGTCTCCAAGGTATAATCTAAAGTTGTGGTGCTATGACGCATTGCAATCCTATTTGACAGAACAGCTACTCCTGGAAAAAAAAAAAAATTATAATTTCTGTAACATCAGCCTTTACCTGGCAATTAACCTGATTTAGAAGCCAATGCTGCAGAAAACTGAACTGGTGAGATTGGTTACTCTCAATTAAAACTCAGGTCATCTGCTCAAGAGTGCTCTTATCCACTTAAAAGACAGAACTAATCAATGAACATTAGGATTCCCCCCCCCCCAAAAAAAAAAAAAAACCCAAACCAAGCCAGGGTTGACTTCTCTCAGAGTCACAGACAGTATCATCTCCTATCAGGAGGCAGCATATGCACATACTTTCTGGAAGACAAGGCCTTCCCACATGTTACAGGGTAGTAGGAATGGCCCTTGGACGGGCAAGGGCTCAGAGGCGCGGTGGGGGGGCTTCCAGCTTCCTCCTACCTCCCTGCTGAGGCTGGTTGACATGAGAGAGCAGCCTGTTCTGGTCAAACCCTTTGGACAAGAGTTATCACGCTGAAAAAGGACCAGAATGCGCGGGATAGTGTATTATGCCCTTACTTCAGCTGTCTGATAAAAATACCTGTCATAGCTCATATAAATGTGTATATACTGTAAACAAGCGGCGGAGATAAGGGAGGATATACGGCAGCTACACTGCCGTATATATCATTTTACTTAATCTTTCCCAGGGATAACTGTGAGGTGTTTACTTCTTTCCTATGGAGCAGTACTTACCTCAAATCAGCCTACATTTGCCATAGGATAAAAGTGTAAACACAGGTTAGCTGTCATGGTGTAGAGCCAGGAAAGTAGTTCACACTGAGCTCACCCGTAGTGAGATCACCCTGATCACCTACAAGTACCCACCAATTGCCCCTTTAACGCTGCCAATTTGCAGTATAAACATCACAAGCTGTTGCACAAAGATAAACCCCGGGGCCACAGTCTTGGTGGCTGCAGATGAGGAGTATGCCACCATTGCGTTCGTGAAGATTTACTACAACTGAAGGTCTGACTCAGAGGTATTTGGGAGGTGATTTGGGTATTTTGATACATATATTTTTTAATCCTTATGTCCTGTGAAGGCTTTTTGTGTTGTGGTATAAGTTTCCCAAAGATGTCTTTGAGCAGTACCTCAAGAAATGTAATTATAGTCAGTCATTTATCATGTCTGTCAAACTCTTGTATATAAACATCTTGATTTTTTTTAAGTGGGATACAGTCAGATTTTTTTTTTTTTTTTAGAATGCCAAACCTCACAACAACTGCCCATTTTCTCAAGCCTAAACTGCTTTTAAATGGCTTTTTTTTCTTGTTCCTGTTCAATGTGTCAGTGCAAGCAGAGAGGAATTTCCATGGCCAATCTGTGCTTTTAGCCAATGAATCAATAAAGCAATCCAATATTAATTTCAGCAGCAGATAAATGAATGTTTCTCTAAGGATTTCAGAAGAGTAAAGGTTAAGATTTCATCTTATTTATCCAAAAAACAAATATTGAAGTGATTCAACTTTTGAGTAGCCTTTTCTTGGAAACAGACTGCCAAAAGCGGAATAATATTTTTCCTCTCCGCCTTTGACTCGGTATGATTAATATCTCAGAGCTGGATTCTATATTATTATTATTATTTATGAATAATGATTCTAATATTTCACAAGAAACACTTGCACAATATAAACATTTTATTACTTTATTGACTTTGTCTGTATTTCTCAGAAGTGAACAGAGCCAGAGCCCAGGATTTTTCTGTTCTGAAGGAATGAAGAAAATGAGATTTATAATTGAGCAGCTGTAGTCCGGTGCCTTCAAAAATAGAATAGCTGTGCTGTGAAGAAGTTCAACGTAATTGTCAGTTTGTAAACCTGCTCTTTTCTCATGTAACAAGTACATTTGTTGTGTGATGTACCAGGAGACCTACATTGCCCAGTTATGTTTGTGATCTTCACTGTTCATTTACAGAACTGCAAATTAGGGGAGATGGATCCATGGATCATGGTTGGAAGAACATCATTTATGTTTGGTCTTGCCTCCAGCCTGTCCTACTAGAAATTATAAGTTCCAGCAATTCTGTGGTTTGTAGACTGTGATTTTCCTCAGTTTGGCGTATAAAGGAGCTATGTACCTTCTCAGTGTTGGT